ATTGTGTAGGTCTATGTTTAATTACAAACAGCAACAGTTCTAGCAATAATAAACCTATTTGTTAACATATATATATAAAACCTAATTTTTTTTCCAAATATTTTTCTTCAAACAACTTTTTATATATGTTATAAAGAAAGACGGAGGTCAAAATTATCATCAAATTATGAGTGGCGGAAATTTAAATATCGTGAAATAAAGCAGTTTTGGTGATTTGGGGGTAAACAGAAGTGACTTCGTTCAATATGCGACTTTCAGTTTGTCTCTGCGTTAAAACTGCTTTTATTCCTTTGATTACGAACAGAAAGTAGCGATCTTGTAATCCTCGTTGAAAGTCAATTTTAATCAGCAGTAGTTTAAAGTAAAAGTTGAAATCCCCAAAGGCTGGCGCTCTTAGTAAAAGGGGGATTATTTCATAATGTATGACATGCCCTGACGTTTACTTAATTTTCCAACTCATTTCACTTGTCCTTTTAAATTATCCCACCCCATTAGATTCGTCGAATTTTTACAATGTATAGTCTTCCTGGAGATTCCCTAGGCGGAATGTTAAGTCCATAATTAAATTAGAGGGGTGATAGGTTACGGCTGAGATGAAATACGTTAATTAGCTATAACAGCAAGCGCGTGTTCAAGTGAAAATTGTTATATTCAATAAAAACTAACTGACTTAACAGTAACCTTCCTTGACATCCTTAACAGTAACCTTCTTGACATCCTTAACAGTAACCTTCCTTGACATCCTTAACAGTAACTTTTCTTGACATCCTTCACAGTAACTTTCTTGACATCCTTAACAGTAACCTTCCTTGACATCCTTAACAGTAACCTTCCTTGACATCCTTAACAGTAACCTTCTTGACATCCCTAACAGTAACCTTCCTTGACATCCTTAACAGTAACTTTTCTTGACATCCTTAACAGTAACCTTCCTTGACATCCTTAACAGCAACCTTCCTTGACAACCTTAACAGTAACCTTCCTTGACATCCTTAACAGTAACCTTCTTGACATCCTTAACAGTAACTTTTCTTGACATCCTTAACAGTAACCTTCCTTGACAACCTTAACAGTAACCTTCCTTGACATCCTTAACAGTAACTTTTCTTGACATCCTTAACAGTAACCTTCCTTGACATCCTTAACAGTAACCTTCCTTGACATCCTTAACAGTAATTTTTCTTGACATCCTTAACAGCAACTTTCCTTGACAACCTTAACAGTAACCTTCCTTGACATCCCAACTATCCATATCACTTCTTCTGTATTCCTTGCCATCATTTTGTCTATTGTCTGCTTTTCATTCTCGTCAGTTTCAAGTTCCTTGTGTTATCACGTGCTTTCCAATGAATCTCTTTAAATCTGTGCTGTTATAAAACAGAACATTCAACAATAATATCAAAATATGTTCACACTTGTAATGTAAATTTTACAGTTGTAGAGAAGCCGAAAATCGTTCCTTGTATATATATATATGTGTGTATTTAACTTAAAACGTTATATATATATACATTTAAATTAAAATATTCCTTGTATATATATATATATATATATATATACACTATTTATTAATTAAACGTTACCTTGTATAGTATATATATGTTTAAACTTAAACGTTATATATATACATTTAAATTAAATATTCCTTGTATATATATGGATCATGCTTTCTAAAGATCTTAAGGTAACATATACGTCGATTTATCAGCTTTTCCCTACTTGGTTAAACTCCTCCAAGCAGTGATCAATTTATCAGCTTTTCCCTACTTGGTTAAACTCCTCCAAGCTGTGATCAATTTATCAGCTTTTCCCTACTTGGTTAAACTCCTCAAAGCAGTGATCAATTTATCAGCTTTTCCCTACTTGGTTAAACTCCTCAAAGCAGTGATCAATTTATCAGCTTTTCCCTACTTGGTTAAACTCCTCAAAGCAGTGATCAATTTATTTAACACTCTTTGTATCCGGCCTTTTCTATATGTTGACCCTCCCCTTACTTTTTTTTTCTGAAACGACGCCCCTGTTTTCAACTGCAATAAACAGCTGCAGAAGTAAAGCAGCAAATAGCGGAGAAGCCCCAGGATTTATCCAAAAACTTTTATGAAAACACATTATCTTTTTGAAGATAGTGACACAACCGTTAGAAAACTTGGGGATTCTCCTGGGATGCAGTATTTGCTTAGACAAGACAAATGCATCTGCGCGTGGATATACGGAAAGGAGGCTAGTATATGGCACAGCTTCTACAATACACAAACATACAGACAGGTGAAGTGCTGCAGGCTCTCAAAAAAAAAATGTCTTTCAAAATATGTTTCCGTAACTTAAGCCGAAATATATCTTTTACAATTTGATCTTTCCTCAAGTGAAACCAGAAACCAGAATGTATGTTTTTTTTTACAGTTTTATCTCTCCCCAATTGAAATCGAAATATATATGTCTTTCACAATTTGATCATTTTTAAACTGAAACCAACATGTCTTTTACGATTTGATCGTCTTTCAATTGAAACCAAAATATATGTCTTTTCAAGTTAATCTTTCCTGGGCCGAAACCAAAATATACGTCTTTTTTCAGTTTCAGAATGATCAACTTGTCCCAAGTACGTCTTTTCAATTTGACCTTTTCTCAACTGAAACCAAAACATACGTCTTTCACAATCTGAACTTTTTGCAACAGAAAAAAAAAAACTGGTGCCGTTAAGAGTAAAACGGAAGTGGTTCCATCGATCGATTAGAATGTAACGCACTTCGGAAGC